TTTGAGCTCAAAATATAAACGAGCCGAACACGAGCAGAGCTTGGGCTCGCTCGTGTTGGACTCGTTTGCTCCCCTTAAGCATAATAGACAAAATACTCCAATATGTAGAATATAAGATATTTTTAATACATAATTTACAATAATTAAACTTGTAATTAAGAAATATATTAGACATAAGATAAGATTAATCTCTCCGGGAAATCCATCAGAAACTCCCGATCAAATTTTATTTTTTTTTTAATTGCATTTTTATCCAAATTCGTAATTTCATTACTTGACTTTTTTTTTTTTTTTTCTTTTTTGCCAAATCAGTAATTTACAATATTACCCATGGCTTTGAATGCATGCCGTAAAAAGTAATCATATTTGCTTTTTTTGTTTCTATTTATAATCAGACATATCATAATTTCAGACTTTGACTCGAGCATTTACATAAAGAGCACTCATTTTTTATGTATTTACATATCCAATATCTAAATTTACTTTTGTGCATTTCTACCGCTCAAATCTTTCTTATCACACAAAAATATCATTATTTAAGCTTTTCATGCTTGTATAAAGTGGCATATACATATAAAAAATTAAATTTTACTGTTACACATGTAAATGCATGAATAGATGCTATGAAGTAAATCTTCCTTCATAATAATCATATTCCATGCCACGTCGTAAGTGACAGTATTTTACAGTGGGTCCACTTGCAACGTCACAAGTTTTTAATGTACTCCCCATGGGAGTCTTGATGTAATTATCTCTCCTTCAAATATGTGCAAATTATAATTGAAATGTGAAGTTTGCAATATAGTCTTCTATATTTTGTTATTTAGAAGTGTAGTGCATGTCAAAGGATGAGATTTAGTTTCTAGACCAATTATTATATGAAATTTGCAATTGTTTATTTCAATTTGACCCATTTAACCTAAGACAAACTTGAGTAATAATCATATCAATTATGAGTTCATTCTAGGTTATTGGGTCAACTCAAACCAAATTTGATTAATATTGGGTCTACATGCTTAATTTGAACCCGACATGAACACGTCTGCATATCTAACATTTAAACATTGTCATTCCGTATATATAATTTTTTTTTCTATGCATGAAAACATGTACTTTTTTAAGTTAAAATGTGGTATTGCTTATGTGATGTGAGAGAATTGGTTGTGATATGCCACCAATAAATTTTCATTATCAAACACAAATCTCGAGATATGACACAAATCTCAAGACAATATTTTAAGAAAATAACATTTAAATATTGCTAAAAATTCATTTAGAGCTCAGATTTTAGCAAACTTATAGTCAAACTGATCAGCTCGATGTAACGGATCTAATGATATGAAAAATAGTCAAATCCGAGTGCAATCAAGCCCAAATCAAGTCATTGAACCACACTTAGAAGATTTCTCGACACATTGGAAGATCAAACGGTTGTCGAATATGACAAGTTTAATCTCGAATCGAGCAGCTCGACAAGACGAATCCAACAAGCCCAAGATCACTCAATTATGATATCATTAAAGCACACAAATGTCCATTAAACGCTGTATGATTGAGAGAAGCTCTTCGGACCGTTCAATCAAAATGATTTATAATCACACATTAATTGCACCCAGAGCACTATAAATAGATCCCACCCCTCACATTAGAGACAGCGGAAGTCTAAGGAGAGAGCATGAGACTTTAAGGAGAAACTGCAACTCAGCATCACCGCCGATAATCGTCGACCACCGCTAACCAATATCATCTCTGACTTACCTAACAATTGTAAATACTTATAAATATACCAAGAGCGTCTAGAAATCTAATTTACCCAATAATTAATCAAGCGGTCTTCGCAATTTAATATTAAAGTCATAATTAATTATTTAATTAGTATCCCAACAGAGATTTGAATTTATGAAATAATTCCCAAAAGTATTAAGGGCAGCATTTTTTCTGATATTGCAATGCTCTTTCAAACATAAATACAAATACAGTTAGAACATAACAAATCACACACTATTTTACCGCCGAATTTCCAGTCATCAGCTGCAACTGTTTCACTGCTTCTGTTTTAAGCGCCGTTAGTTAAATTTTCAGACCAATGAACGCAGCCATTAGACCGCACTTGACAGTTTCATCTTACAGATCAGCTTCCCCAATGGATCAGCAAAGCTTCTGCTTCAACTGGGAAGATATGGGCGTGGAGCAACCCTTCCTCTTCGATGGCGAGCATTCCGAAGTCGGCGAAGCCCTCTTCGGCTTCCTCTGTTTCACTGCTTCTCTTGAGTTATTTGAATCCTTTCCAGCTCAAATA